ACTGGTTATTGTATATTTATACAAATAATGTTTTACACATTTTCTTTCTTTAAATGGTACTGGTTATTGTATATTTATACAAATAATGTTTTACACATTTTCTTTCTTTAAATGGTACTGGTTATTGTATATTTATACAAATAATGTTTTACACATTTTTGACACAGTTTATTGGATAACTCTTTTCTTTCTAATTTGTTTTTGTAAGTTATTTCTGCTGCGTTTGCATTCGTGATATTCCGATGATTTATTTAAAAATTTCGTAGAATTATGCCATGGACGAAACAAACATTTCCGATATTACTAGTTCGGGTTACGGACTGACAAAATAAATAAATAAAAAGGAGTCGATGTACACAACACTGGGCATTTAAAAGATTTAAGGCTACACATTTGGATATTGGAGGACAAGAAAGGCGGATACAGAACATCCCTCCTACAGCGTTGGAAAAGTACTACTACCGAGCGTAGTTATATCAACTCATTTTAACTTAACTGATCGAAATTCTGTTTTATTTATCTGGTTGTAAGCCAGAAGCCGAAAATGTTACTTGCGCAAAGATCAAATATCAATTTTTTAACGTTTAAGCCATCACGTTCACAGCTGAGCCATATTTGATTCTACCATAGGTATTTACCAAAATTTGTACGATTTCAAAATGTATACTTAATCCATAATGACCCTTAAGGGATTGTATTAAATGGTAAATCCACATACTTTGAAAAGTTTAAAAAAACTATAAAAAAGCAATGTAAAGATTGATGTTAATTTTGCATTTACATTTAAAGATCTCTGCAACAGAAAATAACTCAAAATAAAATTAGTCGTAGAAATGAAGTAGACGTTGCCATTTAGAGTTAGGTGCTAACGTTATTTAAATGGTCAACAAACAGCAAGTCTTATCCTTTACGGTATGTATGTAGGTCAAGCGGAATTACTAGAAGTCTATGTCGTCAGACGCCTGAACCGTTAAATAAAGTTTGTTTTTCTTCCAAAAACCTACCGTCTCACTCCTGTTAGTGTTCAACATTAAACTTGTATTACAAGAAAACGTATGTAAATAAATACAAGATTTTCAGCTGATATATATATTACATATTCGTTGTCAACTAATGAAAATATTGTAGTTTATTTAACACACTGTATTCCTTTTTTGGCAGGGAAGAATATGGATATCCGGGGTCAACATTTGACTGAGTAAAAGGAGTGGGTGGAGTTGCTGTTTGTAGAAGAAAGGAAAGCGGCAATAGATAGAGAGAAAAATAACAAACATTTTTTTCCAGACCAGAAATGGAATTAGACAGCTCGATAAATAAATGTAATTATGTAAACATAACTAAAAATGGTGATTAGACTAATTTTATTTTGAGTTATATTCTGTTGCAGAGATTTTTAAATGTAAATGCAAAAATTAACATCAATCTTTACATTGCTTTTTTATAGTTTTTTTTTAACTTTTCAAAGTATGTGGATTTAGCATTTAATACAATCCCTTAAGGATCATTATGGATTAAGTATACATTTTGAAATCGTACAATTTTGGTAAATACCTATGGTAGAATCAAATATGGCCTCATCTTTTCAAACATTAAGGCAGAGTTTTGAGCTTTCTGGTTGCTCAGCTGTGAACGTGAGGGCTTAAATGTTAAAAAAAATTGATATTTGATCCCTGCGCAAGTAACATTTTCGGCTTCTGACTTACAACCAAAGTAACGCTTTTCTGATTTTAAAACGTTGATTGTACTTTTCTTACGATTCATAACGAACTCTAGGGTAAGTTATTGCATAAATCTGAACCTTTCAGGCTTAAAACATTATTTAAAAGGAAAACATTTTTTAACAGTCTTAGTCGACAGCGAAAAGTTAGAACAATCGCCAGAAGAAAACGGGCATGATGCAACTTTTTGATTGGATTCTTCCCAGCAAAAAAATAAATAGCTCCTTGTTTGTTTGTTTTTCTGTCTGAAAACTCTTAAGTAATATAAAACTATATAATGCAATAAAAATGTTATGTGAAAGTTACTTGACATCAACCTTGGACCACGCATGCCTTGTATATGAAAAACTTTCTATGGATGTTGACAGTTCCTAAGGTGAAAAAGGCGTTCTTTAGAGGGGCAATGGTTTCACTTCGCAAGTTATAAAAAGGCCCCACTCATCCCTAGCTTTGACTCGCACTAATTCATAAAAGATTAAACTAAGATGGACTGTATGTAATGAGTATTTAATAAACAACGATTTTGAAAACAATTCTTTATATTTTGTAATTTAATGTAACCTGCATTAACAAGGATTTTATCTAATCTTTTGGCCTAGTGTTTATGTGACCAAGTATGGTATAAAGATGTGTCGTTAAAACCTCATGTTACCTCACACGACACTTTGTTTTAATTAGGATTTTGTAGAAATCAACATAACAAAGATCATTTTACAAAATTTTGTGCCCTATTAGGATAACATTTTTTTTTACAACATTTGATTCCAAAAAATATTTTTTGACGTTTAAAAACAATAGTAACTTAATTAAAGTTGCATGTTACATTTGGCCAATAGAGGTAGACCTAAAAAAATATTTAAATCTATTCTCATTTCATGCCAAAATTTTGAAAATATAGAAGAGTGAATCTCAATGATTAATATCTTTAAAAAGTTGGCTAGTACTTAATAGTGAAATACTATGATTATCTCTGAACTACATAGAAAAGTATTACATGCTCACCAGATTTCATCACTATGGTCGCCAATCATGGTTCTACACTTTTTAAATGAACATGCATACACCCATTTATGATTTCTTCACCTGATGATAGACAGTGAATACTTGTACTGTAATAAGCATTTATGTTGAATTTTTACACTTCTTTCAGAACATCAAAATATTTTCTGCTTAAAAACATATATCTGTAACACTGACACCACTGTGGTGCAAGTGTTAATTATGTAAAAATAAAAACAGTGACAATATCATATGACAATTTTGTTTTGAAATAGTTTTAAGAGGTTAACCTATATTAACCTCTAATTAACCTACATTATGTTTAGAAGAAATGACTTACTACTAGCATATAATATGCAACAACAGATTTGGCATTCAACCAGAAAATCTGCTTTTTCCAGTTTCACACAACCTCAAAATAATGCTTTGCCATGTAATATCACATATAACGGTAAATATAACACATGGGTGGTCAAATAGGAAATAATCGTTTTTTAAATGAGTAACAATATAGTTAATTAAGAAAGCAAAGTTATACCAAACATATCCAAGCTGACTAAACCTGGAAGCTTCATGTATCAGTGACAAACAAGTTTAATTAAGAACCTTCAGTGTACACAGTAAAAGTCAAAGCAGCATTTATCAGAAAGTACAGTTACATAGGTTAGAATGCAACAGTAACTCATAATGGTAATATTATTATATGAACATTTATTAGTTCTTTACATTTTCTGGCAATGACACATGTCCAAATTATCTACCATCTGGTCTGTAATGTAGGTGTGCTGTAATATTTTAAACATAGGTGCAAGTTTCTCAAAGGTCTGTAAATAAAAACTAGGAGTAAACACAAATTTTTAAAAAAGGAATGTAATTTCTACCTTTAAAATCACCTCAAACAACTGTAGAATGTAAACATTTATCACCTTAAATAATGTTGTAATATACCTGCATATATTAACTCTTTACAGAAGCATGCATAAAACTTTATGCAGCCTAATACCATATGGATGTTTATCTTGTATTTATATATTAAAAGTCCTTTACAAACATCTTTACCATATTAGACTACATGAAAGATTATTTTTAACAATCCAACAGCATATGCCTCTGATAAATGACATTTCATCACAAAAATTAACATATAGTCTTATCAAAAGACACAAAGTTGGTGTGAAAATGTCCTGCTTTGTGAATTCCTACATCTACAAACCACATGGCATATAACACAATAAAGGAAACAGTTTATAAGAAATCTCCATAATTATCAAACAAATTGAAAACTGTTTAAACAACACAATTAAGACAAAAAACAAAAATACAGAATTTATTCAAAAACACCATAAAATAAAATTTTAGTAAGTTCCATTTAGGAAATAATTTCATGACAAATACCAAGTGCTCTTTAAAAGGAATACAAATTTAAAGATACTGCTTTTACCATTGATTAGAGTTAAACTTTGTAATAACTAAAACTGGTGCCCAAAATGTCTAATCTTCAAGAAACCACAGAATGTGTTTCAAAATATTTTGGATAAACATATACATTTCATATTTCTAACTTTTAAAATGAGAATATATTAATACACAAAATCCATAATATGTCCAACCGAAAACTGAAGTTTCAAGTTCTATACAACCCAACAAGGTCAATAATTAAGAAGCAATCCTGTCAATGATAAACCTTTTTTCAAGACTGATTTCTGGTATTGAGTATTTCACAAAGGACTGTTAATTATTATTGTTTAAGCATACAACATACATATATTCATTTTGTGTTTCTGAGAAATATTTTTTATGCTCCACAGTACATTTAAAAGGTTGTGAGGTCATTCAAATCTCACTCATATTTTCTTACAAACAGATTAATGTGAATATATTGACTGTGATGCCACCTATCTGCAGATAAAAGAACAGTAAATCAGTAGCAACAGCTTAGGTTTCCTTCCAGTTAGATCAGTACTTATTTATATAACAGTCACTTTTTGGTTACAATGGTGCTCTACTGCAGATTATTACAAAACAAACCCTGGAATTAAGCATTGTTAGCCCATAAACTTAAATTGACTCAACGGTGGATAAACAATACATCAAACAGTCTTCCCTGAATTACTTTAAAGCTTGAATTGGTAGCATTCCAAACAATCAACAAGTTGAACCTAGAATTAATATCACTTGAAAATGCAAATCCAAGATGATGATGGTGTAAGGCTGTAAATAAACATTTTAATTTTATAACCTCTTAAACTGCAAGAAACAGAAAAACCAAGAGCTAAGTCCCAGATAGAAAATTTTATAGGTACTCTTTTTTTTTTTGCAATGAAAGATTACAAGAATGAAAGATTTAACAGACTATTCCTGACTTTTTGAGTTTAGATTAATTTTAAGTGGTAGCTCAGAACATCCTGTAAGTTCATATACAGTACACCCCAAGGTGGATGTAGTTTTTCTGGGACTCTCAAAAATCTTGGGCACCAGGGAGAAAATCCTCCCTAATCAGAAATAAAATAATAAAAAAACTCATACCCTGGGGCATAATGGAACAAGAATTAGGTCACCCAAGGTAAAGAAAATAGTACAACAAAGAACAGCCTCTATGACAGTTAAGATTATTTATTAGTTTGAAATTACATACTTACCCTTTTTACCTTACTCATAACAGCTACATAATGCTTACTATTAATGCTCAGTTACATGCACACACAAAATAAAAAGTAATAAGCTATTGATAATTTCAATGATTATTGTTTTGAGAATCTCAAATAATTCTCTATGTGTGATAATGTTTAACATTAAAATGATAAAGGGTGAGGACGAAATACAGGTGGAGATTGCGAAAATGTTTTACTAGAGAACACTGTTGGAACATTTGTTTTAATTTGCGTCAATTCTCTTTGTGTCCACTGTGCTTTTATTCACTAACTTTATGAAATAATTTCACTCAATTTTTCTCATAAATTAACACCATTGTGAATAAAAATTCATTTTGTGGGTTTTTACTATCACTGAAGATGATGCCAATGAGATATATATATTTTCAATTATTACATAAAATGTTAGTTCATATACAGCATTGAAACAAAATTGTTTAACAGTACAGATGTCAAATGTACAAATTGCTTACATCTAAATATCAATCACATTGTGACTATATGTATACCAGGTATTCCAGTAAAACTTTTTTCATGTGTTTTGCAACTTTTGACAATTCAATATAGTAGTAACTGCTGGAATTTTTCATTTTCTTTCAAAAGAAGGATATCTGGTTTGACTGGTAGTAATGTACATAGGAATTAACAATGAAGTTTTTATAGTAATAACTGGAAAATTACTAAAACAACCTGCCTATTTCATATTATTCCTTTAATTTACATAACTCTATAGGTCTCACATTGTGAAGTTCTGAGTATAATCATATTCAATAGTTGGAATCACAGCCTGCACAAACTTAAGAAACACTATCAGGTACATATGTACTCCCAAATCTCCACCTCCTTCAGTTACAGTCTCAATGATTTTCTTCATGACTTCAGCATGCCTAATTAAAGAAACCAAAACCTCTCAGTGATGTTATATACTGCCCTTTCTGCATTTTATAACACTTCAAATAAAACAGTGCAGTTAGTTCCTACTTCCATAAATCAAACAAAAAGTTATGCTTTTACACACACACACAGAGTTTAGTAAAATAACATTAAATTATGGCTTATTCTTTCATTATAAATTTATATGCATTGTATTCAATTATCAAACAACTTTCCAAATCAACAACCTTTGTGAACAGGTAATTAAATGCTTTTCATTAAGTTCTCCCGCTTGATATTCATAAAGCAGTTTAAGTTTAGTTTTTGCTTAGCTATAGAAAATTAGTTATACATTTTTCAAAATCATAATGAACCTTATTCAAGCTCCAGTGATATATATGCATAAACACACACACAGCTGTGTGTGTATATATGATATACAAGTTGAATTTGGTTTCCTGTCACCCTATCTCAAAGTCAAAATTCTTAAAATTAAACCATACATATAATAACCATTCACATATCGGTAATTCCACAGTATACCATCTTATATTTTGAAAAATATATGTAGATTAATTTTGATACAGTTTTACCAAAAAATAATTTTCATATTCCATCTTCTGTATATACTGCCTTTGGGCCTAAGGTATTTAACCATAAAGATGAAACATGGATTATATTATTTAGTTTTCATGATGACAAATAGAATTGTGACAGTAAACACAGTAAAATGTTGATCTGACTTTATTCTATATTATTCCAAATCCCTCAATAAGGAAAAATATATTGCACTTTGGGAATCAAGAGTAATCAAATGCTCCATAAGTGGGCCAAGATTAAGTACTTTTATATTACCAATTTAATGGTAAAGTTAATGGCATTGTAATAATGTGAGTGTGACTCATGTTACATGTTAAGCACTGCAAACAGCCAGCTTTTAACTGCATATTCAGTTGGTATGATACTTAAATAATTATAACTTTTTTGACTTTTAACTTTTTTTTTTAATAACAAATGATCAGTTTTAATCAAGAATTTCTGTGAACAGGAAGTTTACTTTCAAGGAAAAAGGAAATGCAGTGTACAGTAACATTTAGGTACATATTTATTGATACTAAGAGTCAAAATTGAGTGATCTCAGAATTGACAAAAATCAGTGGATTCAACTTTTTGACTAGGATGGAATTTGTTGTTGTCTACTGTCTTTAGTTCATCAGGGTATAGTATGGCATCATACTACACAGTGTATCAATTGTGGTTGGAGATCCATAGGAATTGTCCACAAATTTACTCAGAATTACTATCTGGTATATTATCAACTGATTTAGCAGTAACTGCAGTAAGGGGAAAGGTAGTTATCTTGCCCTTCACAACTTTTAGTTTTCTCACAATGCCATAAATGGAACTAATTTCAAACACTTCAGTCAAATTCCAAATCCCTATTTTCCCTCAGTTTCAGTGACAAAAGTTGTGGCATTACTTACAATATACTTTCCACCTTTCACAAAATTTCCCATCTCATGCTCAACTCTAACAAATATGCCATCTGCAATAAAGGCAAACTGCAAAGAACCTCACTGATGAATCAAACAGAAATGTGACCTTTGGGGAAAGAGTGGCAACAAAAAAATTCCTTATTGCACAAAGAGAATAGCTGTTGTATCCTGGTCTTTGGAATAGAGGTACATAATGTTTGGGATAGATGAGTCTAAATTCGGATTGTTTGGTTACAACTGGTGTATATATAAATTTTCACCAAACAGTCAAGCACGCAGTAGGCTCTGTGATGGTTTTGTGCAATTGGTGTGCAATCTTCACAATATAAATGGGATCATGGATAAATATAAATACCACAGTATATTAGTCCATCAAGCTATACCAGAGGGCTATACAAAAATTAATTTGGGTGGCAGTAATTGAGCACAACAGAGACAAACTTCTGCCAAGAATTTGAGCTTGGGGTTGTAGGAGGGTGCTCAAAGTGAAAAAACTAATAAATACTTCTAAATATTATGTTATATTTATATGCATCTACTCAGATGGGTTTTGAGGTAAGATAAAATACCAAAAAACATGATACAGAGAAAAAAATCTAAGTAAAATTTGTGTTTGTTCTTGCTTTTATTATTATTATAATTTTTTTTACTTTACTTTTTATTGTTTTGATTTCTGGCCCAATTTTATCATGACACAAATTTTCGAATTTGGGTACCAAAACTTTTGCACCCAAAAGTGGTAACCTCTCTCAAATATACTTCTATATACCCTCTGATAACAACTTTCATGAAATGAGAAGCTTTTATTATGACAAGGAGAGAAAGTTCAGGAGATCTCAAGTGAATGGACTTGTCAAAGTTCAGACCTTAACCTCATGGAACAAATCTGGGATTTGCCAAGCTCTATGCTTTACAAAAGTACCATCTATACTTAATAAAGCCTCTGGACCTAGCTTCTATAAAAATAAAACCAAAATATACTAGAGACATTGAGAAAATACAGAGATCCAATAACACAAAGACGTCAACCCGTTAATGATCCTAAAGGTGGCCACAGTAAATATTAGCATTAAAGAAACTTAACATTATTTGTATATTAATTTTGTTATCTGTAAGATTAATTTATAATAATTAAATGTAAATTTTTATAGCAAATAAAAGAGTATTTTGTGTAAAATGGTAACTGTTGAGGTGTTATAATAAAGTTATACACTACTGTGGAAGATTGCTGTTTTTATTGTTTTGTTTTTTTTAAAAAGTCCCCGTTCTATGTATTTAAGTTAAACAAATTTTAAGAAAAACCAAGGATAGAAGGGAAAAGGTAAGTAGTTGTCTTCTGGACAAGTGAAGTTTTGGAGACTGATAATTAACTACTCAAAGACAGCTGTAACAAATTACAATCACAAGATTTGATTCCAAACAACTTTAGGATTAACTTTCATGCATATACTATTGCAATAACTTGTTTACTAACAGTTTAAAAGTTTTATCTTTCATGAAGTTTTGTTTATTAAAATAGTTAAATTTTTTTTCTACATTACATGTTTGGTGTTTGTTTAAATTCATTAAATTATGCTCAATCCATAATGAAAAAACCTGTTCACTCTCTTTTAAATATTTCTTACAAAGCTTACCATTTATTTTCATACAAAATACAAAGGGATGTTTGTTATTTATCAAGTTTTGAATAATTTTGTTCAACATATAATTTCTTTCAATTAATAGTAAAAATAAACTCTTAGCATCATAATATAAATATGCATTCTGAAGAACATATGACTAAACATTCGTAAATAACAGTTCAACTTTCCATAAGCATATTTCAAATAAGTTCAAAATCTGTATATAATGATTACTCCTAATTTTTCATAAAATTATGCTATGTAACATAACTAAAAATCTCATACATCACCAATTTCACATTTCTCTAAAATTATCAAGCATAAGACAACAGCATACCAATTCAGAGAACAAAACTATATGGCACCTGGCATTATTCTTTAGTTTGGCCTTGTTCCTGATTACTGATAAAAGATGGATTTCCCCTAAACCTGTCTAACTCAGTAACATTCAGTAAATCCAAAAAAATGGATTGAATCTTACAACAATGAGAAGATTATAAAGAAAACAATGAAAAAAACACTACAATTGCACACAGACCTGGATTTAATTCTGAAATAAACTTGCATCTACTGTCAAAACTTCATTAATTAGTAAAGACAGAAGTAAGCTTCACAACAATAACTTTGTTATACAATGCAATCTATGAATACATTTAGGAAATACCTGCAAGGATGAACTGATGCCATAGGTGGTCCAGGAAGGTGTGGATGAGTTTCCATAGTAACAGTCTTTTTTGCATGGTCTTGGCTGATATCTTCATACATTTCTTCAATTGAGAGTGGTTTATGATTCTGATTTAAGAACATGTATATAAATATAAAAGTTCCAAATGTTTTCAATAACATTTTTATTACTATTGTTCTGCAAAATTTCAAACATTTGGTAAATATTTTTTTTTTTACAGAATACTACGAGAAGTACCCAGGTACAAACTTTTAGGTTTGTTTAACAACTACAACTATCATGACAATGAAGTTATTAAAACTTAGGTTCTTGCAACTCATGAATAACTTTAGCAAATATAATTTGAAAGACATTTATTATACAATAATATACAGACAGAAGTCAGCAACGTTAATTATGTCAAATAAAGTCAATTCCAAGAAAGCTTTTGTTGAATGTTTTATATGGAATATTTTGCACATGACTCTAGTTTCAATAAGTTTTAAAAGCAAACTAGACAAACAATTTCTAAAATCTAAACACTTACTTATTTTGATTTTAAAATATACATTTTTGCTATAACAGATATTATACAAGTTTGTGAAAAACACTTTTTTTTTTACCTCATCATATCCATAGAGCCACAAACGTGGTGTCTGATAATATTTATCATAAGTAATGTTTAAGTCATATGTTCTTGTTGACACGATTTCATTCTCATAAGGGTTGCTAGTATCTTGTTTCTGATCTTTAGGATTTAGGGTTGATATTTCCAGTGTTGCCTGTAAAAATTGTGAAAACATGTAAATCTGACACATATAATTCTTACATGATTGGAGTTTTTTTCCCATTGATAGATACCTTGCTGAACTAAGAGGATTAAGATAACAGACAACAATGGTTCAACCAACTGACTAACACTCTTTGCATAGCATTAACATCTGCAACAACAATACAATTGCAACTGATTAAAAAAAAAGGAGCATGTCATTAAAGAATTTTTCGTCAACCTTCCTCACAAGTGTTAATTTCAAGTGCAGTAAATCATTAACAGTACTACAGAACATATGTAATATCCTGAATAATTAAAACCATTCAAATGAGCAAAGTTTTCTCTCAAACTACAGCAAAACAAAATGTTATTAATAATAAAGTTCTATGTCCTAGCTTTTGTACACAAATATAGGGTGAATATAAATAAAACTTCATGTTAAAAATTATTTTATTCTAAAACTGCTTCTTCTAGAGGTACCCAACCTCATCATAAGCACAATAACATTCATAAGTTTTATTCAGGATAGGTTGAATATGGTAAAGGGTGGTTCAAAAATGTCAAAGCAGGTCTTCAATATGCTTTTCATCACTCTTATTCAGTGTTTCAAATCTATCTCTAAATGAAGCTATTGTGAACACTATTTGTTCTGAATAATGTTTACTGATCCTTGTAATCTCTAACAATTCTTTTGAGGAAACTCCAGAGATAAGAACCTGCATGTGTACTTGTGTGGGGATCTTGCTAACCATTTATATATGAATGAACATCTCAAGATTTTGTCTTCATTAAGGCACTGACTGAGAATCTTTCCTTCCATTTCTACCCGAATGTCTCATGATTTTATCTTCCATGAAAGGCACTGTCTTACCCATCCTACTTGAATGAATTTTCATTGTTCTATCTTCAGTAAAAGTACCCTGTTCAAAACTTTTCAATTAACATGATAATAGATACGAGGAGTTTCTACACTTCCTGAAAGGCAACATTCACAATGCCTCATGTTTCAAGGCATGTAATAATGTGGTCTTACAATATATTCTAATGATGGACTCCAAAACACTTTGGGCACAGCTAGTTTCATCAGTAAGTTCACAGAAACAAAGACCAATGATAGAAGTACTGGTGAAGTACACCATAATGTAACATAAGAATCATGAGTACACTTCTGGTAAACTTTGTGTGGGTTTTTGTGGGCATACATGACAAACTATCTTACTACGACATATTCACTAGGAAAAATGCAATTTTTGTCTATCTAAATGGTGCTTTCTAGCCATGTTTCATTGCCCATCTATTTGGATAAAAATTAAACATAATTCGCAAGTCAAATTTCAAAGGTGGATCACAATCCTTAGCATCATGCAGATGTCTAAACTGAATAAGCTTTGAGCATTAATTTTCTTTTTAATTCTTTTTTCATAGTATATTTTGTGAAAGATCAAATTTTCAAGCAGTTTCTTTCACTTGCCATCTTCACATAAAAAAAAAAATTCTAAGCTTGATCTTAGATACTGAATCACTTATTCTGGCCATTCCCATGACTTGTAACTACACAGGTTAAAAGCCTTGATCCAGTTGTTACAATTCAGTTAAAGTGTTACGAACTAAGAGTGTAAATGGCCCCTCATACTGATCCCTTCTGCACAACTAATGCTAGAGAAAGAAGCTGCAAGACCTATTCATTACCATAGATAATAAACACCACTCTGTAAGTAATGAAAATTGAAGGAATAATTTACATGTATAAAAAATTAGGTTGGTGCTTTCCTTGTATATATCAGCTAGAAAAAAAGGTGAAACACTACCTCTAGACAGTAACAAAAAAGCCAAATTCAACAAAACTAATCAAGCCATCTTATTATTTAAAACAGCAAATTTCAGATAGTGAAGGTGATTTTAATATGGTCTCTCATGTGTTTTATATTTAAAACATTTTTTAAATATAGAGAAACTGCCTAATAAATTCATTACTTTCCAATGATATTACAATATTACACATGAATGACATCTTTGGTTATGTTCTCTTTGTTGTTAATAATGTTAGTATCAACTTGTCTAAAAGTACTTACTGGCATAAAATTAATGAAATAATTTAACTTTTAAATAAAACAAATAAACGAAGTTTCTGTTAGCATGTGTTGATTTGTCTCCAAATAGTATTGTCATACATGCACGGAGTGTGAACATGTAAATGTACATATATAACAAACCAGTACCTTGTCCTCATTATCTAGCATTCCACTTTCTACAAAAGCATCCATATCTTCAGCTTCTTCATCATCATCTTCATCACTTTCTTCTTGGGGTAATGGATCATTTGAAGACTTCTGTAACATTTTATGTAAAATTGAATGACATACTCAAAAACTGAAAATGTTCAACCTCTAAAAACATTCAAAACACACTGAATAATGTTTAATGTGTTTCTGTATCTTTTTCTTCACTATTAAACATCCTACTATGATGAAGAGGTTCAAAGGAAATGCAGCAATATTGCTATTAATTAATTATTTGAAATTCAAAAGACAGTAAGTTCCTGTTAAATGGAACTGATGGTGTACTGATATCAATCCTCTGAACACCTGAATTGTAGTAGGGCATTTATCGACAAGAAAGAAACCCAAGACAATTTACACAAATCAAATCCATTACCCAAATATGGCTTGATCATTGTTCTTTTTTGCTTTGGAGGCCTACTGCACTTTTTTTTTAAATTAATATTCAAACTAAATCATAGCTCAGCATGGCTATAGGGAAAAAGAATTTTCCTTAATGGCACTTTAAACTGACAGAAGCAGCTTACTGATAGAAGAAATGACTGAAAATGTGCTTCTCGGTAAGTTTACAAAATGATTTTAACATTATAAAGTCTCTTTTGGGTTTACTTTGATATTCTAAACAATCAAATTAAGCTTCATTGGCAAGTTGTCTTTTTAATGTATATGCTTGAGAAACTACTAATTTTAATTTTGTTGTTAGTAATGAAAGCTAAGCTAAATTTGGCAAATTGTATCAGTATGTTCTAAATCAATACTTAAAGGTTAGTGAATGACTGATTCTGAAAGCTTTCTTAATTGTCTTTGATTATGACAAGAAAGTACTAATGTAATTTCTTCCTATCTCTGAAAAAATATTTTCAAATTGATTAGTCAAGAAGAAGAAATTATCTGACACTTCAGTATTATAATATGAAAATAATTCCTGAATAACCAATTCCTTTAAATATGAATTTAATATATTACACAATTTTTAAACTTTCAAAATATTAAATACTTTCCTTATTAAGAATTTCTTCTGCTCAACACTGGTTAAAAAGTGGGCATAATAAAGCCACAATATAAAATGTGAGACAAGAAAAAATAGTATGATAAGAACCAGGTGACAAAAGAGAGACACACAAACAAGTATGTGAAACCTTGCCTTATGAAACAATGCACTAACACAGTCTCACCTTTAAATCAAGTGTCATTTCATGAACTTGATCTGCTACACTTATGGGTGTTCCTTCTGAAAATATAAATATGATATGGATAAAACTAACATTAATGTATATTTATGATGAGAAGATATAACATTAAAACAGCTTAAAAATTAATTTCACTCATTTATTTTTTTCTACAATTTTACTTTATGACCATTTCCATATAAGTTTAACATAGACTAATCCTGATTCTGAGTAAACCTTCTAGTTCTGTAACTAGCAATTTAATCTCGAATCCAACTAAACTTCGAGTTCAGTTGTTAAGCCTAAATATGATAATATTAAACCAACTAGGACTGGAAAGCCAGGAAATTGACACTTTATTATTTCACCACTGTTAAGTATTTCTATAAATTTAAGCACCTACCTGTAAAAAAGAACATTACATTTAAGTAAGACTTTATAGGTCATTTAGACCTAACAGCTTACCTAGCTATATTTTTCTGCCATAACCTAATCCTAAACAAATAGGTAGGGCACAATAGGTACAAGATGCCAATATGTTGTATTATTGCTTTATGATGTGCTAAAAACACAGCTTAAATTAGTATCATGATTATAAATATCAATAATATTAAAAATCATTTGTAACTAGTAATTCCTTTTCTATTTTTTTTTTCTCCCCATCAGAGATAAAGCCTTGCATATGCAAAAATAGAGGATTTTTGTTTTTAATGCAGAATACTGCATACTGTTCTTGCTCCTTCCAGAAGTTCTGTTATATCACAACACTGAATGAGAAATTTTTGGAGCTTAACATGTAGGCCTAATGCTCTTTCAGTGATGTGTTAGAATATTATATCAATTGGTTGGGAAACAGAATAGTAAGAATCAAAAGAAGATGTAATTAATAAAGAAGAGGATCTTGTTTGACTGGACTAAGACAGTGATTTGCAATGTGTTAATTTTTTTGCAGGTAATTCATAACTTACAGACTTATCAGACAATAACCATATTGAAGACAAAGCTAAAAGTATGTAATTAGAAAATCAGGAGTTAATCACGTAAACACTATTACAGTAGCATCAGAAACTTTATAATGTATAATGCTTACTGATGTTTCTTTGACCATAGAAGTTATACAATAACTGAATGGCCAATTGATGAATATTTATTTTTTTTGATGTCATATATATAATCTCAACTAAAATGTTCTATTATTTTTTTAATCCTTAAATTCCAAACTATTTCAGAAACACCTTCTGTCAAACTTCATTCAAGCTTGGTGCTCATGAAAAAACAACAAAATATACATTATCGCATTTCGTATAAGGTACAAGAACAGATACAAAATTACATTTACAATTTATCCAAAAAACACACTGACTTTCAGACTGTACAAAATAAAAAAAGCAAAACAACCAACAACACACATTCTTCTATGAAAATGTAGTTCCATAAGAAAATATACTTAAGGATAGAAGTTACAACTGAAGAAGAAAAAACAAAGTATTACTTAAAATTTCATCTTAGATTAAGACAATGATACATAAGCATAAATTACCCACCTATTCAAATTCTTTCTTCATGCAATTTATGATAAGGTTCTAAAACATATCGTATATAAATATATATATTTGAATATATTTAAATTACTTATTGTACTAATACTGGTTTACAAAAGTGTACCAGCATACTACACCTTTTATTTTTAAGCAAAATCTTAAGCCAAAATAGAATTGTATTACAACTCAGTTTTATGTTCTATTGGCAAACTGATATGCAAGAACACTTGTTATGATTTTATATATAAAAGACATTGGTCTTGAATTTCAGCAGTTACCTAAGATAACATACTATCCATTGCACAGATATGTGGTAGCGTTTACCTGTATAGTGATGTGTATCTACCCAGCCACCTTCATCATCATCTGTCTCAATCAATTTTTCTTGTTCTTCTGAGTATTCCATCTGTTTACATCGTTTATAACAAGGCACTAATGAAAAAAAACAAAAAACATTTATTAGTACTGAATCCTCTACATTTAAGAAGATGCTAAAGTAAAATATTGCTGCCAGGCATATGCTTCCCTGCCTAAAACACAAGAAAATGAGTCCTAATAATCACTATCCTTTTGTAATGTAGCAAAGTTGTTTTCCAGAATAATTTCTGATAATCTGTAAGGCATATCTTCAACTAGGTTTGTACAGATGTCTGGTGCAACTTGTATCCAAGGTTACTTAAATATTTCATCCAGTTAATGCCAGTTCAAATGATGTTGAGTAACCTTTTAAATTAACCCTCCAGGTGGTCTCAAGATGTTTTGTATGATTAAAATTTGAGCTCTCAGTGAGCACATTTAAAAGGATAATGAAAATCCCACATAACCTGCTGTGGTCATATGTTATATATGGCATGAAGCACACTTGTTGAAATAACATTTTGACTTTCTGACCTTTGGAATGTGCTCATTTACAAATTATCAAGCAAATATCAATTTCTACTAAAGTTTGCAACATGCACCATGGAATGCATTGCTTAGGATTTGTTTCTATATTAACAAATAATCTATGCAACTAAATTACATGTATAGTCATTCAGTATCATATATACTTAAAGTAGTTATGCCTATCTGTATCTAATGCTAAAAGAAATTGGCATCTAGACTCCAAGGCATAGATCATATCAGGTTTTGGAATTTGTCAGATAACCATGGGTGAAGGTCAAAGTGCACATTCCCCAACCTTATACAGAGTGCCACACAACATGGTATTAGGTATTTGATGACAGAGATATTAGTATTTCATGTTACCTTACATTGCTGATTTTGCAACAGTTTGTGTTAGAATAGACAAATACCAGATACAGTATACTGAAAAATCTTTAGATATGCACTTAGAAAGTTGTAGAGGCTATGCAAGTGCAATCATCAAACAGTCCAATGGACAAAAGTATAATTATTGTTCACAAGAATATCATCTTGCACTCCAAACTATCATAATCTAAGCCACACTGTCTTTGGTATTTCACAGACATATCTTTAGTATAAAAACTTTAGTAACACATCAGAAATTTTTTTTGTGTACAAGAGACCCATATTGTTGACTTAAAGCTTGCTACATTTCATGATGACACACTTCGTAAATTTAGAACTACAGTCAATATATTACTTCTCTAATGTACTGACCTCATTGAAATTCACAATTAATGTTATAAAAATTATCACATTTTTTTACCCCAGGTTATAAGTAACAAGATATTCATAGACAAATCTTTTTACTTATGCCTGATTTAAATAGAGCTGTTGTTTTAATAATTTATTGTACAATTATAAAGTTACAAAATAATATGCACAAATAATAAATAATTTTATTTTTCATTTTTACAGTGGAATATTATGTTGGTTATACTTTCTTATATTTATTTTTCACACTTGCAATTAATGAAGCATCCTACATGAACAATATTTTCTAATATCAAACATTGTACAGTAATAATGAAGATTTTTAAGCATGTATATAAAAAGACATTTTACTTTTTAAAGAAATTATGTGGAATGTATAAAGACATTTTTCTAATATACATTTAAATTTAGTTAATGCCTGTAATTCGACAATACCAATTCTTTTGCAATAGCCCATCATTCAAAAAAAATATCACATGATAAATTAGAATAATACTAAAATAAAAGGATAAGAATCACTCATGAGAAAAAGAGATAAACGAAGCCTTTCATGTCCACAAAACTAATAACACATTCAATCAACCTACCTAGCATGGCAGTCAGCAAAACCTGGATACCTCCTTGAAAACATTCAGATAGTTAGTTGATTTAAGTTCAAATGTGAGTGAATAATTTACCAGACTTTCATCAATAAAACTCAGGCTTAAATCCTGGCCACTACTAATGCAGAAATAGCATTTCTTAGGGCATCCCTGAAGATGGCCATAGATTAACAGCATAAACATAGGATAAAAAATAGTTGGTAATCATTACCTTGGTATATAAGAAAAAACACAACTAGATTTAGAAGGCATTATGGAAGAGTGAAGACATTTGAAAGTAACACTCTTGAAGTTTTTGGATTATATTATTTAAATCTGTTTAAGGATCTGATTAATATTCTTATTTGTTGTAGTTTACAACAGGTTACAAAACTGATTTTAAATCATATTAACTGAAAACAATATAATAAAAAAATATAAAACTACAACCTATACATCCCATAGCACACTATGCTATGGAAAAAAAAGAGTATTGAGCAACTTAAAAATGATATTGACAGGATGTTAAATAGCTTTATAAATTATAATGTAAAATCCAATCTTTCAAGAAATGAGCAGTCAGCTATCAATGAGTTAAAAATGAATGATCACATAATTGTGAAAGAGAATGACAAGTGCAAAGGCTTTGTTTCATTGAGTACATACATTTTCATAGAAAAGTTTAAGGCACATCTCACGGATATGTCTAGTTACGAGCCATTTAACAAAGACCCTACAAAAATATGTTAAAGAACTTTAAAAGCAAAACTACTGTACTCATGTGACTTCTAGATAATCACAGACCATCTCATTTAAAACTGTATGGATTACCCAAGGACCATAAATCTGACACACCTCTAAGACCCATAGTCTCCGTATACAGCTTTCCATTAGCATCTGTTTCTTAGCTACTAGAAAAACTACTTCATCCTTCACACCTAAATAGCAACAGGTTATACAAAGATGATTTACAGATGAGTTAGAACATTATCCTATTTACTCTTGACATCATTTCCAAGTGTCCTCCCATTCCCATAGAAGAAAGTATAAACTCAGTTATGAATCTTATTAGATCAACCACCCCTTCAACTACCAATGATACTCCTATAGAACTCCTTGAAAATTCTCCGATTTGTTCTCAACAACAGTTACTTCAAATTCAATTCAGCTCTATATAAACAAACCAAAGGAATTTCTATGCGCAACAATTTTGCTGCCATTTTGGCCTCTATTTTACATGGTCAGACAAACTAACTCATGTTGACATAACTTTATTTAATAAAACTACACGTAAAGTAAACAAAGTAAAGTATAGTAATGGTATTTATAATAGTGTACAGAGTATGAAACAATTATGAGCATTCAGTGTATGACACAGTTTTATGAGTTGAAAGAAAGAAACTCAAAAACAAAGAATAAAACCTGTAGCAAAGAAAAAAAAAGTAATTAAAGGGTGTTTATATCAGTCTGTGAAACAAACCAAAGCTAAGTTATTGCAAGGTAAAGTTAAATGTAAAGTTGTAATAAAGGAAAACTTAGTTGAATATGCAGAAACATCTGAATGCATGTTCACAAAGTGATAAGCATAAGTGTTTGAACAAATTACCCATGTATATTTTAGACATAATTTTATTTAGTGTAATGTTAATTTTTTTTAGGAAATTACACACATGTTAAACGTTGTTTGTGTGAAATACTTTGCAAACAAAAAAAAACTAAAGTTGAAATCGAAGCCAGTCATCACATGATAACAATGACATTGTGCCATCGTGTATCATACTCATTGCATTGAGGAGTTTGACTAAGCAAACCACAGGTAAGCTGATCCTGAACTGAAAAGCCAATATACAATCTAGACTCTTCGGACAGAGGCCTTTCTAAAGATATGAGAATTGTATTGTTTGATTGAGAAAAGTTCTGGACAGATTACTGTGTATTATTTATACAGATAATTATAATTAGGGGATCATATAGGCCACTAACCATGACACTGATTGAAATCCAAACACCAGAACCTTACTGTAAGTAGCTAATATTCCATTTATAATGCTCAGAATAAGAAAATGAAGAAAAGATCAAATTTGTACTTGTACACTCTATTCTGTTTTAGTAATGTTCAAAACAGGATTTTAGACATTTTTATAGTAATTAACTTGTCTTTTAATTTTAGTGTAAGGTCCAATTATCAATAATATTATCTTACATCACTATCTCTACACAACAGCACCCAACTAAAGTAAAAATATATACATCATAAATTTCAACAAATGCTACAGGAAATGTATTATTGTAGAAAATATCATGTAATAAGCACAAAATTCACAAATTAAAAATGTGTGTAAACATATATATATACTAATTAAAGCATAAAAGACATCTTTTTTTCGAGAGAAACATTTCCATGTTTTACAATTCAATGTTCTGGGTGCCATGCCTTTTATGAATGAGCATCTACTAAGTTTGAACTACTTTTATTAGATTTACATAATTTTGTAATAACACTAGTAATGATATTTGTATTTTTGAATTACATAATTTAAATTATTTGTTTGTTCGTTGTTGAGCTATCTGTGCTCTGTCCACCAAGGGTATCGAAACCTAGTTTTTAGTGTTATAAGCCTACAGATTTACTGCTGTGCCACTAGCAAGTCAATCCAAGTTATAAATCATACCTAGACCTTGAAGTGTTATTTATATCTGTCAAATTTCTGTTATTATGAATACTTGAAATTGGTTGACACAAATTTTTAGCTATTTTTACAAAAACTAATTCAAAACTGAAAACTGTGTTTTCAAATAAACAGAACCTTTATAAATTGTACATTTAATTTCAGATTTTTAGGTTCAACTAGTTTAATTAAATATACAACTAAAACTATGTAAATAATAATGCACTAAATTTTCAATACAATTCACTTCTTTCAAAGGTAAAGATTTATTTTAAAACTTGAGAAGAGCAAAATACAGTCAATGCCTAGAAAATGAAAAACTTCAAATAACCATGCACACACACACAATAAAACTTTTTCTAAGACTAACTGTTACACTAAGCTCTTCCAATATCTATTTTCTATCCTGGTATCTATCATTTTGTCATGTCATATATAATACTCACTTAGGGAAATTTCGTTCATTCATTCATTTGCTATTCCACTATCATCCAAATGCTCTCCGACATAACAATTAATAATTTAGAAAAATATTAGTAGATATAATGATTCTTCAAAAATATTTACTACCCAAAGTCCTTGTAATAAAGAAGAAAAATATGAAGGTTCTAGGTCAAAGAGAAAACAAACATCTAAAATGAAATTCAACAAATCAGAGGAATGAAAAATCAAAACATACTCAGTGGTTTTAGATCAAGATAAAAATAATTCCACCTAAAAAGATAGCAGACATAAAAGAAAAGTACAACATGGCCCATAAGGTTCGATTGTGTTGAATTTCTCACAAAGCTACTCGAGGGCTATCTGAGCAAGATCTTTCTAATTCACGTGATAAACTAAATGAAGGGCAGCTAGTCAACATCACCCACTACCAGCTCTTGGGCTAATCTTTACCAAAAAATAGTGAGATTGACAGTCATATTATAATGCTCCCATGGTTGAAAGGGTGAGCATATTCAGGTATGGGACTTGAACCTATAACTCTCAGATTGCAAGTTAAGTGCCCTAACCAACAGGCCACTAAGACTAAGAAAAGGAAGCTTATGTGATGACCTTGAATTTTCCTAGAAAATCTTCAGAAAACAAGGTTCCTGAAAGACTAGAAACCTGAGGGGTTAAGCATTTAAGGAACAAACAACCTGATCTACAATAAACTAAGTGGCCAGAAATAGAATCAAATTAACAAAAGCATCTGCAACGTAGGTAAGTGTACCCTGTCAACAGGAAAAGTGAATGTACCAGCAGGGATATTAACTGAAGGACCTTCACCGAGCACGATGCATGGAGGGTGGAATCATTAAAGCTAGAAAAAAAATGGCTACTTAGAAATGCAAAAGCAAAAAGCTTAAAATATCCATGGGAAAGAGAACACAGAATTAATATCAAAGGTAAACTGAAGGAGTAAGGTTATATGTGTATGCTAGCCTTAGTATGAATATGCAAAATAGATTATCCTAGAAATATATTTATTATTTTGGTCAAGTAATACCAAGTGAATATTTTACCAAAACTGTAATTATGCTCTAAATTTCACACACTTCAAACTTTTGACTTTAGCTACATAATATTCTTTTTTTTGTATGAAGAAGTGTTTATTATCAGAACACTTACCATTCCTTGTGACAAGAAATTGCTTATCACGTGGCAGGTATTGTTTGGTTTTAGCATCATCGCCACTAGCCCATTGCCAAGTGGGACAGTGATGTACTAAGTGATCTCCACAAATCACAAACTGTAACAGAAAAAAATTACAGAAGAATAATAAGTGGAAAAAAATCGATCTAAGTTAATGGATGCTAAGATTATGTGATCATGTCTTCAAAACTAGTGTTTCCTACAAATGAAAAAATCAAGAAACAGAGAGTAAGTATAAATAAATGTCAGCAATATGACAGAATATATAAATGATTAGGTATCCTCATATGTCCACTCTCTATTGGCAAACCAACAATGAAAGAGAGACATTTGCATATATGATCTCTTACATCCTTTAAAGTACTGGTAAAAACAATTCCTTGTGGTTTAAATATTTCAATATCTCTTTCTCTTTACTCACTATCAAGGAATTAACATCTATATGATTCAGTTCAATATTTTTTGTAGGATCACAAATATTATTAACATCTCCTCTAGTAAAAACAGTAGAGAATACTTAAAGCTCATCCATTTCACAATCTTAAAATAAAAACTTTGCCACCTGCTGCTTATAGGGATCCAATATCCATTTTAACTTTTGGTGTTTACCTTTAATATATGTCTACTCCTTGAATTAAAACAAATTTATTCCTAAAAAATTTTTAAAGCTCTTTCACATTACTTTTTAACTTATCTAAATTCACCAATAATAACTTTTGTCTCATGGCCTTAAAAGTTTTTTGGAAAATTAGGATACAAAAAAAACACATCATAAATCACTTTGAGAAACCTCTGTCCCTCAATAGTTGACTCCATGTAATCCTAATTAATGTGTAGCAAATCAAGGTCTCTTATGATTATTGCATCAGTATCCTTATTAGAATCAGCCATGAATTCATTATATAGTTCATTCACACTGTCTGTTTTAGTGGGTGGCCTATAAATGTTGTAGAGTAAGGCAATTAACTCAATTACCTTTAAACATTGATTACATCAATAAGTGGAATGTAAAATAATAACCTAATCAAAATTATTGTTTCCAATTATTACTTAAGTTTGATTATTCCATCTATCAAAGTAATCAAAATACTGCCACTATAGTTATTATTTGATTAATTCAAAATTTTTCAGCTTAATCAATGAATGTCATAATTCACAGTAATAATCACCTAATCATAATTAGTGTTACTGATTATTAATATTTTTCATTATTCCAACTATCCAAATCATGTGTGAGAATAATTGATTAGATAAATGTAATTGATAAATAAGCAATGATTAATCAATTATAAAATTCCATTAATCATCCAGCTCTAAACAGTTGCCAGTAAAAAAAACGTTTTTACCCTTGAAACCTCTAAGTGTAGCCCATATAGATTCAACCTCTTCAGTCTTTATAACTTTAGTCTCAACAGGCTGCAGCTCAGCCTACACATACAGGAAGCACTCATCTTTAAAGAACAACCCAATTTAACTAAAACTTGTATTAATTCTTTATTTCTATCTAATATTTAGTAACTTCAATATTCTAAATTATTATAAATACATATAACCTACTACTACTTAAAAACACACTAGTTACGAATAAAAATATGTGGATTAGGCATAATGTGTTACTTTATGTTTAGCTGTATATACAGTAAGAAAACCTGCATACACAGGTTGAATCTTCCAATCAGCATCATGACATGTAAATGCAAGGCCGTATTCAGCCCTAAACATACGTGTAACTAATTAGTTATCTTTCCACTAAGAAACAAAATCAATTACCTCTTCAGGGGTCACCACTCCTGTCTCTTTGAACTTTGACTCCTGTCCAAAAATAAAGTCATATGATAATGAGTGAAATATTTATAACTATTCATACATGTACGTTTTATATCGTTGGGATTTATACTACATTCTAATACATATGATAGTTCTGAATACATGAATAATTACTACTTAGATGTACAAATTAATCCTATTATTTTTATTGATATGCTATGGTCAATTTGGAGCATTTAGAGTATTCTGAATTTCATATACAAGTACTACAAAGCCCTATATGCAGTATTCAAGAATGTATACAAAATTTAGTTTCTGATAATGAGAGCTAAAGTTTAAAAAATTAAAGCTTATACTATGAATGTATTTTGTATATAAAATGTCATAAAAATATAACAAAACAGAAAAATACAAAACTGCAATAGTTAACAAATTTTACTCATTATCATGACTTTATACTTTTATCAAATTTCTTCTTACTTTTTGAGATATTTTTATTATAATTTTCAAAAATTAATTATACGTTTAAACTTCTGATTAACTTCAGATACTGTATTGTTTTATCATTAAAAGTGTCATGACAAATTATCATATCTTCTATCAGAAAACTTCAGATTTGGTTGTTTAATCTAAAATAATATATCTACTATATATAAGACAAAAGCATCAGACATGATATGAATTTTATCAACACATAAAAACTTTTAAATTCCATGCTCATCTATCATTACATAAATATATTTTTCAATATTATCTTTTTCCTATTTTAAGCTAAAATTATTATATTACTTATAATAAAAAATTGCTATCAAATTAAACTTATTGTTGCGTCAGCAAGGTCACGTGACTCGTTCTCTCGAACCTTCGGGAATTGTCGGGAAATTACTAGATATAGGGTAGTCTGGTATATATAAGAGGGTGACAACGTGACGGGACAATAATGTGTGTGTAGATTGTGAGTAATTGATCTGCAGTCAGAGTATTGTTGAAGTTAACGTTCGTTATAGTGTTTGTTTTAGAGTGACTGTTGAAAATAAGTGTATCGGTAAAGTTATATTCAGAAAGAATAAACCAGTTTTATTAAGAAAGGACTTGTGTCGATAAAGTTTCGTCGGAACGAAGTTACGGAAAATTAATTAACAAACGGAGACATAACATTATTTTATCACACTAACATTGAGTATCTTAATCATTACAAACTTACAAAACTAATATTTCAATACATTCCTTCTAAACTTGAAAATCTTAAAGAAAATTGTAGCTACACTTATCTTTGGTAAAAAGCACTATGCAATCCATTTGAAAATGTATATGTATTTTTCTTCTTAGATACCAATCAGAAACTATTACCATAAATTACTTAGTATGTTGAGTTGAAAATATTTTCAGTTTCTTTTTTTGATTTTATACTTTTTTCACTATCTCACTGTCTTAAAAATGTGATATTCCAAGAATAAACTGAATACAGAGTTACTAAATCTTTGCAATAACGAAAAGTTTGTGAATACAGTACTTGGATGAACAGATACACAGACAAGACACAGGAAGAAAATTAACAAAAATAAACATTTTATGTATTGTAGAAAGGATTATTGTTGCATTGTGACAGATTACAAGTGGAAGAATCCACCATATTGAAATGGAAAGTAAATACAAGAAACTATTTTTGAACAAAGATGGAAACAAACTTTATTTAGAATAAAGTGAGAGCTGGAGGCAGTGTTGTTGATAAAAGGATATGTATACACTGTTGGCAGTAGTAACTATTTATGAAAGTTAAAAAAAGATAAAACTTTATGAGCAAGCCAGAGAAGAAACTGCCTCAAAATTTCAAAACTCCCTTGACAATTCACATTATCTCTGTAGTTAGGCAATCACAAGTATTTGGTGACATCTTTGTTCCATGTGATAGCCAAAAAGTAGTCCCATACAAACGAGAAAAAAGTAGGCTACAACTATCACATAACACGCACCAAATCCTATTATAGAAAGTAGCACTGAAAGTTGAATTAGCACAACCAGGTTTAACAAATTCAGAATATAGAAAAATGTTTAGAATACTGTATGACATGAAATATGTAGTAAAAGGGAATTGAGATATGTGGTATCTGTACACCACAACATTAACTAAAACACAAATAGCTTCCACAGAATATCTAATACAAGAGACAATTATTAATATTAGTTGGCTTTTTGTCACTAAAACCAAGCAATAGTAAATATATATAGTTTCTATATATGAACTAAATAATTACAGGTGTTGCAACAGATATTACAAGTAATTGTATTATAATGTACTTGGTATTAAATATAACTACTTCACAAGTGAGTTATAAGTAATGCTTCTTTAAATTACCTTTAAGATTGGTGTCAAGAACTCTGCTACTCCCAACGCTGTTCCTTTTACACTGTTAATTACACTTTGCATGATGAGTACCTACTTTCACTATTCAATCCCTAAATGGAACATAAAAGACAGAACTAACAATTAATCATTGAAGAATTTCTTGTAACCGTTTTTACAGTAATACCAAGTAAATCCTTTACTTTGAATTAAACTGTATTATCAATACCATTGACATTGCAGTTTCATGATGTCAGAAAAACATGTAGGTTCAAGAAGCCTTGATACAAGATGAGAAAAAAAACCTATAACCGAGCACTTCCGAAAGCACTCGATTTATATGGTTTTATCATCTTGTATTGACATTGCAATGATTTTGTAATGTTACTATGAATTTCTATTAACAATCAGGTATTTACAGCTAATTAATAAACTTGTAATAACTGATTACCTATGACCATTCATTACATCAGTTAATTTCATGTAAAATAACTCATTGATTGAAATTATGATTAAATTGATTAATGTTGCTAAAATAATTACCAAATCAAAAGTAATGTTTCTGATAATAAAATATTGCCATTATGATTTCTCATCATTTTTGGGTAATTCAAGGTGTTTTAGTGTCAAGATTCACCAAACTATTCAACAAATCGAAATGTTTCAGATTATTACTGTTTTTGGGTATTTCAACTATTCAAGTCTCATGTAAGAATAATTCATTAACAAGATCAACTATTAAACAATTAAAAAATTCCACTAACTGCCCAGCTCTACTAGTAATAACTGTGATTTACAACTAATTATTAATTAAAAATTAGTTTTATTTAGAAGAAATGTGTAGGCTTGTTTGATACAATTTATCTATTTACACTTCCTATGCATATATGTACCCAACAGCTAAACTAACTGAAGCTATGTTGAATTTAAATGAGAAGATTTAAGAATTGCAAAGTAATATTTTTGTCTCAAAATGCCAAAAAGTGGGTCACAAAACCATTACTTCATATAATTTTATAACCTCATTTGATTAAAGGCTTTTTTCAGAAGTCTACTTATAATGATTATTGACAATTCATAGTTTTTTTTACCTCCATAGCTTTGAGTCTATCTTCAAACTATTTCTGTTATTCACCAATCATATTTCATTACAAAAGTTTAGTTTGCTCACTTAAATTTTTCAGTACTTGTCATTTTGTCCCTCATAAAATGTTAATATTTTTGTCAGAAATGAATTCTGAGTATTATAATTGTTAGGTTGATACAAACTACAAATATTCTAATTAAAATTAACTTTTTGACAATAGTAAGCTATGTATTGATACCAAAATTAATATAACAATTACCATAGTAATCAGTAAAGCTACTTAAATAAAATGTTCTTCTGATCTTGCTTATAAACATTAGAATGCACTGTTTCATCAGTTGAACATCCTTGCTGTTAAAAATATTTTCAGTCATAAACCCAGTAATATCTCATGAAATTTGGTCAGCTTAGGAAATTTAGGTTAATCCTAAATCCATAAAGTAAGCTAATTATGCAAAATAATCTCTAAAATAAAACTATAATCATAATAAAAAATATGATAAAACTAAGATCCATATATATTACAAATTCTAACTAATAAAAGTAGCATTAAAGAAATAACAGGGCATACCTTACTTACATAATGCATAAATGTAAGTTGTTAACTTCAAGTACTGTTGTAGATTTAATGTCTGTTTCACTTCACAATATTCAACTCACTTGTATATTTTGTAACTGACTTGTAAAAAAATATATGCAGACTAATATGAAATATTTTGTACACAAATGATGTACAGAAATTTATTTATTTAATTTACTAATAATAACTATTTCTTTCTTTTAAAAAATTAAGTAAGAAATTTAGCAATATTACATCATTTAAGTTGTTTTCATCATAGATTCATAAAACAGTTCTTTTCTTGGAAAAACAGTCAGAAAATTATTAGTGTGTTGGAAACCTCTTACAAAATATTTATGTATTTAAAACAAATATATTTCTTACACAGTCTTAAATATCTCAGAAAAAATTTACTAATTTTTTTTACATCAACAATAGCTTGGTTTAATCTTTATAAAATTAAGCTCTTAACTTGAAAGAAAATTTAAAAAGTACACCTATTCAATCAAGTTACACTAATGCTTTTCATGGACAAGTGTATTTTTATTCATTAGAATAATTAATTGCCACATAAGTTACATAAAATTACAAGCAGCAGGACTATCAAAGAGAAAATGTTCAAATGCTTGAAGTTGATAAGAAAAGTGATTAAAGCAATTGTAGGAATCAATTAAGTTTTTGGCTAGTTCTGACTATGCATATTATAACTATAATTTATAAAGGCTACTTACATAACAGTGGATTCCACACATTAAAAACATATTGTAATGTGTATTCATCACATTATTGTACAGAAATGCACAAAAACAAATGGCAGTATGTTATAACTTATACATACACATTATAGTATGTAACCCAGATATACTTTATCTCAACAATTCTTCCTTATTTCAAATAATAACGTTACACATAGTAATTTGCATTTAAATATTCCATGGCAAGCCGAGTAAACACTTCTTGTCTTAACAAAATTCTTTAATATAAGTCTAATATCTAAGAGCTCTCTTAATGTACAAACTTTTGGGTTGGAAAGTCAAATTATTTTCGAAAAAAGGAAGTCATAATTAAAATAGCATGTTGCCCACATTACAATTTACTCAACGACAGCACGAGTATGAATCATTAAACTGCCCACAATTCACGTGCAACTTGCAATAATCCTGATAGCTATAGTTCCAAAGTTATACTAATTTCTATTACTATAAATACTAGTTATGCTCATAGCAATACTACCACTACTTAAGAACTAAGATGTGTATAAAATATACACAACAATTAAGTAATATTACAGCTATACTAATCTGTAAGCATAATATTTCATAACATAAAGTTAATGCTTAAATTATAGAAAAAGTATTAATAAATAATGTGATTACAAACCCTGCGAAATTAATACTTCCGAGTCCAAAATTAAAGTTTAAATGTTAATTACAACATCGTTTTTGTCTTTACCAAGTACTATACAACTCTGTCTTTTAACGTACGCACTACACAAGTTTAGAAAAATTATATTTTTAAAAATTAAATATAAATAAAATGGAATATAGCTCTTTAAAAACCCACTTACGAAACACCAACTTACTTAATCTACCTATTTACTAGACAACTAAGTCCCAAAGATGTATTCACCCGAACAGTATGGTCGTTATATTCCGCCGATCTCCGACAGCTACATCGTAATTCGATAGTTGTGGGATAGAGGGCGATGAATTATTCGAGATAAAGTTATAAAAGAAAAAAAGTTAAATATCATCGTGTACTGTTTATTTTAAAATATTTAATTCAAACAAAGTAAATTTTTATCCAATTTTAATTGAATATCCACGCAAATACTTCAAAAATAATTTGTAAAAAATATAAAAATATCCGATTTAAGAATCTACTTTTAGGTAACAATAACAAAATACTTTATTTAATAACATATTTATATGAACAAACTATATGACTCGAATTATAGGAGTCATAAATTTGCTTGTTTGTTTTATAGTTAAGCATAAAGCTACGCAAGGGTATTTCTGTGTTGTGCCCACCATGGGTATCAAACTCAACTATTAGCGTTGTAAGACTACATGATATTAGAAATCCGACAAAATTTATGGACATGGCTCTGAAAAGGAAAGAATGTCAGAAATTACAAATGAAATGCAATACTAGTACGTAAATTACTTATACAAGCCAAAAATTTACAATAGTTCAGAAGGGAGGAAGAGGTCTAGGGAGTAAAGCCCGATGCCGAAACGATGCAAGTTCGCAGACTTCCCGCTAAACCACTGGGAGCAGAAGTCATAAATAAAAATTTTCGTTTGCTTGTTTGAAGTTAAGCACAAAGCTACACAAAGGGCTATCTATGCTCTGCCCACTACGGGTATCGAAACCCGGTTTCTAGCGTTGTAAGTCCGCAGACAAATCGCTGTGCTACTGGGAAGCAACTAAAAAGTAAATACTACATACCTCACTCATTCATCTATAGCCCCCCAGTGGTACAGCGGTATGTCTGCGGACTTATACTGCTAGAAACCGGGTTTCGATACTCCTGGTGGGCAGAGCACAAATAGCCCTTTGTGTAGCTTTGTGCTTAATAATAAATAACAACAACAACACTCACCTATAATGTATATTTCATACTTTGGATTATTTTCAATGTTTCAAAGTTTTGATTTGAAACACAACCATTTGCGATTGAGGTCATGTGATCAATTTAGTTTGAGGCGTTACTTTATGTAGCAGGGTCCTACTGCGGAAACTATATACTGTTTCATGGGATAGTTGTATTGTATTCTACTTTACCTTGTGTGTAGATCATATAGATCGCCGTGTCTGCAATATTCTCAGATATACTGATAGTGGCATTTAGGTAACAATAATAACCGTTCAACAAAAGGTTCAATTTAATTGGTATTGCAGAGTTAATTTCAATTTGTCACATAACTGAGTTCTAAAGAGAGAGCGAGAAAGACTGAAAGATTGATTGGAAACACATAGACAAATACAATGCAATAGATGTGTGCACAAAACGAGAGACATAATAACTTTCTTACCGGTAAAAGTTCTGTTCCTGATGGAGAGCAGAAATATTTGGTGTAAAAGAGAGAGAACTAGCCGCTATCTGTAAGTTACAATAGGGTCAATTTTTCAAAAGCTCAGGCATCCCATTAGTAAATGTAGGGAAGCCAGAGCCTCCAGGTATTCCTAAACCTCACTATACGACGGATGTATGTCATTAGAGAACCCGTGAATAGAAATCTTAGTGACTGTGGTTCGTTTTACCGCTGCGTGAATTACTTATAGTCATGTATACAGTATTGCTATTGCTTACTACCCTCTTTGTTAATGTAATTTTTCCCAAAATGTTCATTTATTTTAGGTATGAGCAGTTTTCGCATAACACATAGTCAAGAAAGAAATTAAGTTACTTTCACTTTAGCTACCCTGTGATCTGTGTCGTTCACTGGAGATAACGCCTTGTCTGTACTTAGGGAATGTAGCTAAGAGGTTACGCTTAATGTATGGAAGAGGACAAGAGTTTTCTACAATGGTAGGTCAGGTGATATCTCAAGGTTACAACCTCTCTTATTATTTAATAGGAATAAAGTGACATGGAACGTGATAATTGCCATGGGATACTGTGGTATTTTAGTTTTCAGACTGGGACAGACTTTTATACATACTTGGGATAACTTACAAATATTTTAGATTCTCAACTCACACAACAGTTCCCTAATATAGGAAATTCTCCTTTGTACTAATACACACACTGTTGTCTTGTGTTAGAAATAAAGATTGTTTCACTTTGTATTTATATTTATATCCAATCTCCTCTTTTTACCCAAATACAGTAGCGTCAGAGAAATTCAGAACTTCTTGCAATATTTCCTGATCGGATCTCCCGTTAAATAGCGGACCCATCTCATTTACTTTTGGGAAATCAGTTTTAACCGAAAATAACTCGAAACTGTTTTTTATAAATGGCTCTCCAAAATTATTGTGTTTTCACTGTCATTCTTGCATTAAAAACAGGATTTGTGTTTGTCAATAACTAATAATCAGCTTATTATTTTAATTAATTAATTGTTCCTGAATAACACAAGAGTGGCATTGTTTTACAATGATTTAATTTCTATTTCAATTTCTTTGAGACCCCCAGTGGCACAACAGTATGTCTGCCGACTTACAACACTAGAAACCGAGTTTCGATACCCATGATGGACAGAGCACAGATAGCCCATTGTGTAGCTTTGTGCTTAACTACAAACAAACAAACTTCAACTTCTTTAGTACAGTTTTCTCCAGTCTGATTATTAAATATTCACAGTAATGGTAATAGCTCTGACATCATTACTAATATCGTTAAACAAACAATTCTACTGATTTTAAAACATAAGACTGCTGATATGACATTTCACTTTTCATCTTTAGAACCGTCCTCCAGTAGGACAGTAGTAAGTCTTCAGAATTAAATGCTAAGATCAGGGGTTCGATTTCCCTTGGTGGACACAGCAGATGGCCTGATGTGACTTTGCTATAAGAAAACACACTCTTAAAAACCGAGTCTAATCTTTTTTTTCTTTCCTTATCTTTGTCTTAAACTACTGTATCTGACGGACACTAACATAGCTTTGGTATGCTTCAAATCCGTACTATATTAAGTTCCTTTTACACCTTCGGCAGTAAGGAGGACCCCACTCATAGTTTAGACAAATAGTTTATGACAAGATTTAGTTTCTACTGTAGTTACCTTACTGAAGAGACATTTGAAAAAAAAACATTTGAATTTGGCAGAACAAGAACATTTAATGCAAACTGAGGCAGATAATTGAACCTTAATTTGCCACAAATGAACTAGTGAACATGAAAATTTGTCCAGATCACGTCTCTCTCGGCTTCTTTCACAGTGTTCTTGGTGAGTTAGGAATAGGAAAAGCTTCCAGCATTCGTCATCAAGGTGTTCGTGGGTGATATTATTGTCTACAGCAAAATAAGATAGCCAGGATACCAAAGGAATAATTGGTGGACAAATTACCATTGCTTGAAGGCAGTACTATTTGAAGACTGGGGAGATAGATATGGCTCGGTCATCAAAGACATGGTGTATATTTATGATCATATCAGGCTATGCTAGGATGTCTCGATGTATCTATACCTTCAGAAACAACGACACAAAGTTACACTTGATTTGGCATAAGTAACTTCTTTTGACAGATTAGTAGTCATGTGTTATTACATAAACTTGGTCCATGCAATACAACAGGATGTCCTTGTATATGTCTGAAAATTTCCTGAAATCTTGTTGTGAAGATGTGTAATAAACACTTTGCTGCTGTCGATGCTGTGGTATTTTCCGGCTCGAGGATTAAACTCAGAATAATTTGTTAAA